TCCCTGCCCCAGCTCTCTCTCTCTCTCACATAATCTATCAAGGGTCTAACATGAGGTCATTGTGCCTACCAGAAGTGTATATGTCCAAGGCTGGCCACCTGTCTGGACCATTCAAATGTATAAACACGTAATTAGTCTATTAAAATTATATATAATGCTACAATTATAAATTAATTTGTTCATGGTCATTCGTTTATCAGTATTTTAATATGAGGTATATATACGCATGTATGTATACGTTGACGTACACATATATGATTATGTGTATGGAATGATTATGATTATGTGTAATCATATATGATTATATCTAATGGAATGCATTAGTAAGTGATGTGGTGGAGGCTGACTCCATACACAGGTTCAAGTGTAGATATGATAGAGCCCAATAGGCTCAGAAACCTGTACACCTGTTGATTGACGGTTGAGAGGTGGAACTAAAGAGCCAGAGCTCAACCCCAGCAAGCACAATTAGGCGAGTATATGAACGAATGCACATGTACACTTTCAAATGAATTAAGATACCTTGAGATACACAATGACTTAGTTTAAATAGTTTAAACACATTATGGTACTGATTTTGACATGCTGATGTCTGGAAGGGAGAGGGGGTGTGGGGGGTTATTGTCTGAGGTGGAGGACCAGAGGAGGGGGTCAGTGGAAGGATGGTGGCTGGAGGGATGCCATTGTTCTAATGGTTATGAAAACAATTATTGATGGCAGGAATTCAGTGGGTGTGTACTTCACCCGCACCATCACCATACTGTGCCCTGCTACAACCCCCCCCCCCCACTCCACCCATGCTGTGCAGGGCGTATTACACATTATGGGATAACCGACTGTCTGTCCATTCCTGTCTGCTCGTTATGCTGCCCTTCCTTTTGAAAATTGTCTGCTTTATCGACTTCCTTCAAGACCACACGTTAGCCTCTTATCACGCCCTCTTACCACTCTCAGGGAGCCGGCTCTTCTATACAATAGTTACCACTCAGTCCCCAAGGTGAAAGTGTCCGGGCATATGACTTGTTACGTGTACTTATTTGCGATTCGTTTGGGCTGTCACGTGTGGTGATTAGTGTTGGGTAAGGCTAGGCCAGGTCAGGTCAGACTAGGCCAGGTCAGACTAGGCTAGGTAAGGCTAGGCCAGGTCAGGTCAGACTAGGCCAGGTCAGACTAGGCTAGGTAGGCTAGGCCAGGTCAGGTCTGGTCAGGTCTGGCCAGGCCAGGCCAGGCCAGGCCAGGCTAGGCAGGGTGAGAGAAGTAAAGCGGCAGGTACTTACGTTTCCGAGAAAGTAGCGGCGGTAGTATATTGTTGATTTAGATTCGACGACATCCTGAAGCTAGTAGGTGGCGGCCTCATCGCTCTCGAACTTCTTGTTGTTGTAGGGGATACGAGGCACACCCAATATCCCCCTTACATTGATCACATCGCACACTAATATTTTTACTATTTCGGACACCAGATTTGTCTGTTTCGTATATGTATAATTGTTCAATATTAAAACCACAATAGAATGCTCTTAACAGTTACAATTTTCAACTTAACAGCCATATTGACAACATCGCACACTAATATTTTTACCACTTCGGGCACCAGCTTTCGATGTTTCGCATATGTGTACGTGTTCCACATTAAAACGACAATATAATGCTATTAACAATTAAAATCTTCTATTTAACAGGCATATAGTTATTAAATAAAGTTTAGTGATGTAATAGACATAATCCGGAGTTGGTAAGGACGCCGCCCGCCAGCGTAAACACAACACACCCGAATGCCCACAAACACGATACAACGCACAAAACACAACACTTCTGTCAGTTTTTAGATAAACTACTTTTATATTTATTATGTGAGAGTTATACTTGTATAAAATGATAACTATTATAGGTAAGCGCCTAATATTTAATATTAATCAATAAAAAAGAAGTCAGAAGCCACACGCCTGTCTGTACATGTCTTTTGTGTAAAAGTATTTTGGGCGCTCATGTACTTGTGCGCTAGCTGGCGTTCACAACTGTTCTCGCCTACAAGCATTAGAATTAAACAAACGAATTTATTTTTTCATTTATATACAAGAAGAGAAGGCTACCCTTGAGTCTGTAATATTCATCTGATCACTGGTCTCCCATTTGGTCCTCATTGCTTTATCTTACTATTATTGAATGTCAATAACCGTATTATGCAATTTCAATTTCTTCTATTTCTTTCTTTATTATGCACCCCATACCCATCCCGTGGGCGGTGGTGTAAAGGATTACAGAGGCACATAATCGGTTCAGGAACTGAACCCTCTAGTTCGTTTAGCTAAGCAAATAACAATGTTTGACGCTAGTTACAAAATTATTAATGTTGTATACACATGTACACACACACTCATACATACACACACTCATACACACACACACATACATATATATATATATATATATATATATATATATATATATATATATATATATATATATATATATATATATATATATATATATATATATATATATATATATATATATATAATTACACCAGTATAATCTAATAATATATACTGGTCTAATAAAATAATTAGACCAGTTAATACTCTCACTCGTTGTGTTAGGATATGTTAGCTTGATAAAACTGACTGTTCATTGTTGAGAAATGTGTTAACACAATATTTTCTGACCAGGGGGAGAAAGATACTGGCAGTATGGGGCGTTAAAGTTTATTGAAGATTAAATTCTGCAGAAAGGTAAATTATAAAGTTCAAATATAAAGTAAGTAATTATAAAGTTTATATTAAACACAGTTTATTATAAACTTATAACAAAGTTGATATTATTAAACTTAATATTGAACATGTGATATATAAAGTTTCAAATATAATTTAAGGAATATATAACGTGTATATTAAAATATATAAAGTAAATATATAAAGTAGATTAACAGTAACAATTCCAAGTCCGAGGACTAGATTTAACTTAAAAGGTACACCCGTAGTAAGTATGAGACCTTAGCCTATAGTGACATGGAAACTAATTCTGCAGAATAAAGGTTAACTGGTACTAGAATTAAGGCCGGTGCAAACGTGTAGTAATTGTTAACACTAGGATATAACAGCAGCAGACAAAGAATAACTAATAAGTGAGAGACCACATAACACGTAATGTACCCGGCCAAGAGGCCGTAAACCTAATGGATAGGAGAAGGGGGTGTACTACAAGTAGGGCTTACTAGCACCTAGACTGGGCAAAGTATTAGCTGCGGACAGCGGGACACTTGGGGACCGGCGCTGCACCCCACCGCAGGCCAGCGACCAAATATATATATAGTATCTTAGTGTCTGTGTTTATTTGTCACCATACTTTACGTAACAATAGAAACGTTACATTGGTGACCCCAGAGATACTTTCGACGATACCTAGCCACGATGGACTACAACATGGACTCTCACTGGACCTCTACTGTTTTTGCTGTGATGGAACACTGCCAATACCCTCGCCACAGCTATGATTTTCATCGCGTCCATCTCTGCATTTTCATCTACTACGGCTTGCTGCTCCACGATCGTTACTCACTCATCTGACAGCCTCATCAATGATTACATCATGTTGAATCTACAGCTTGTCCTGCCGACTCTCCGTCGCTGCCAGGGCACTGCTTGTCCTACGCCCACGACAGCTGCTCTGTCATCAGATTCATCTACACGTTCACTGCATTTTGATACTCGGCCGACTCAAGCCCTTTGCGCAGTACAGGACTTACAGCTTGCGTTTCCGACTCTTCGTCGCCTCCAGGACAATTCAGCTCTAGCAGTGATTACCTCGTTGTCCTAACTACGTGCCTACATTACCTCCTATTGTCCTGGTGCCCGAGCCCATCCGCCCCGGATCTAAATGCTCCACCAGCGACCCAAGGACGCAACAATTATGCACATTCTTCTCTCCTGCTACACCGAGCTTGTCCACACACTGCCTACATGTTTTGGTACCAGACTACAATTTCCACAGTCAACAATGTAGTACTCGGCGTGTACAGTCCTAATCAACCCAAGACGCTACAGCTTCGACACAGAGCAGACAGCAGACTACGACCGCATCGAGCCGCCACGCTCTCCCACGTAGAGCTCCACGACTCCGGCCTCACTCAGCTCTCTGCTCTGCTCCAGGCTTCGTCTCAAACGTCTGCGACACTGCTAAATCCAGAGACACATCCGCCGACTACGCAGTTCACTTTTCGACCACAATTACCAGCAGCACCGCCACCTACGACGACGGACGATCCTGTGCAACCTCCCACCCTACGACCCCAGTTAGATGACATCAGCGAAGAGGAGGAAGTTAACTTTGATGGTTATGTAACGCGAGCAGGGCGTACAATTCACCGACCAGCAAAGTTCCTTGATCAAGTATTTTTCCTTTCATCCCCTGGGAGGGGGAGTTCTGTAGCGAGTAGATTATCCCAATAATATACTCGCTCCAAATGCTTTGTTAATATTCCTGTCAACCTTTAGAGATGAATGAGGTGAGGCGTTGCCCGGGCAACACGGTGAGGTGTTGCTCGAGCATATAAGCAGCAGAATAGCAAACATTGACCAGAGTCTACTTTCAAGTGTGGTCTAGAGCAGACACTTGCGAGATACTGTACCGACGCTCAGTGCGCTCAACTCACACCAAAGTATCACCTGTGTACTTCTGTATATTCGACCAAATATATATATAGTATCTTAGTGTCTGTGTTTATTTGTCACCATACTTTACGTAACAATAGAAACGTTACACTCTCAATAAATGTTATGTACTCTCGCAACCCAATGTACGTTCTTGTATATAAATAAATAGATTTCAACTGTAAGGGGATATGGTTTGCACCTTGTTATTCAAATAATGGATAAATAATTCTAATAATGGAAGCGCTAATTATATGAACAAGTGCCATGTATTTATTCAGACGAGAACAACAGCGAACACAAACCAGCGCATATACGAACGGAATGGTTTGTATGTACAAACTTCTCAGTGAACGAAGTTGTTTCTAGCCCGGTATCCGAAATTGCAGTATACGACTTGACCAGTCCCCGCCGCAGTGTACACAAACATGGCCGACGACACTGGACACCTGACACAAGAGCACACGGAGAAGATCGTCCAGTTCCAGGTATGGTGCTTGAGGAGCCCCTGGCCGGGGTGTGCGAGGCGAGGGCCGCCAGGGGTGGCACCCCCACACTGCACCTCGCCGCGACCCCCACCAGTGGGGACGGTGGGCGCTATGATATACAATTGCGGTTTAGGTGTCATGTTCCTTTCCCCCTGAGGGTATACCTGGAGAGAGAGGGAGAGATCATACTTGGAGAGAGAGGAAGAGATCATACTTGGAGAGTGAGAGAGAGAAAGCATACCTGGAGAGAAAGAGAGAAAGCATACCTGGAGAGAGAAAGCATACCTGGAGAGAGAGAGAAAGCATACCTGGAGAGAGAGAGAGAGAGAAAGCATACCTGGAGAGAGAGAGAGAGAGAAAGCATACCTGGAGAGAGAAAGCATATTTGGAGAGAGAGAGAGAGAGAAATCATACCTGGAGAGAGAAATCATACCTGGAGAGAGAAAGCATACCTGGAGAGAGAGAAAGCATACCTGGAGAGAGAGAGAGAGAAAGCATACCTGGAGAGAGAGAGAGAAAGCATACCTGGAGAGAGAGAAAGCATACCTGGAGAGAGAGAGAGAAAGCATACCTGGAGAGAGAGAGAGAGAAAGCATACCTGGAGAGAGAGAAAGCATACCTGGAGAGAGAGAGAAAGCATACCTGGAGAGAGAGAGAAAGCATACCTGGAGAGAGAAAGCATATTTGGAGAGAGAGAGAAATCATACCTGGAGAGAGAAAGCATACCTGGAGAGAGAGACAAAGCATACCTGGAGAGAGAGAGAGAAAGCATACCTGGAGAGAGAGAGAGAAAGCATAACTGGAGAGAGAGAGAGAGAAAGCATACCTCGAGAGAGAGAGAGAAAGCATACCTGGAGAGAGAGAGAAAGCATACCTGGAGAGAGAGAGAGAAAGCATACCTGGAGAGAGAGAGAGAAAGCATACCTGGAGAGAGAGAGAGAAAGCATACCTGGAGAGAGAGAGAGAAAGCATACCTGGAGAGAGAGAGAGAAAGCATACCTGGAGAGAGAGAGAAAGCATACCTGGAGAGAGAGAGAGAGAAAGCATACCTGGAGAGAGAGAGAGAAAGCATACCTGGAGAGAGAAAGAGAAAGCATACCTGGAAAGAGAAAGCATACCTGGAGAGAAAGAGAAAGCATACCTGGAGAGAAAGAGAAAGCATACCTGGAGAGAGAGAGAAAGCATACCTGGAGAGAGAGAGAGAGAGAGAAAGCATACCTGGAGAGAAAGAGAAAGCATACCTGGAGAGAAAGAGAAAGCATACCTGGAGAGAGAGAGAGAGAGAGAGAAAGCATACCTGGAGAGAGAGAGAGAGAGAGAAAGCATACCTGGAGAGAGAGAGAGAGCATACCTGGAGAGAGAGAAAGCATACCTGGAGAGAGAGAAAGCATACCCGGAGAGAGAGAGAGAGAGAAAGCATACCTGGAGAGAGAGTGAAAGCATACCTGGAGAGAGAGAGAAAGCATACCTGGAGAGAGAAAGCATATTTGGAGAGAGAGAGAAATCATACCTGGAGAGAGAAAGCATACCTGGAGAGAGAGACAAAGCATACCTGGAGAGAGAGAGAGAAAGCATACCTGGAGAGAGAGAGAGAGAAAGCATACCTGGAGAGAGAGAGAGAGAAAGCATACCTGGAGAGAGAGAGAAAGCATACCTGGAGAGAGAGAGAGAAAGCATACCTGGAGAGAGAGAGAGAAAGCATACCTGGAGAGAGAGAGAGAGAAAGCATACCTGGAGAGAGAGAGAGAAAGCATACCTGGAGAGAGAGAGAGAAAGCATACCTGGAGAGAGAGAGAAAGCATACCTGGAGAGAGAGAGAGAGAAAGCATACCTGGAGAGAGAGAGAGAAAGCATACCTGGAGAGAGAAAGAGAAAGCATACCTGGAGAGAAAGAGAAAGCATACCTGGAGAGAAAGAGAAAGCATACCTGGAGAGAAAGAGAAAGCATACCTGGAGAGAGAGAGAAAGCATACCTGGAGAGAGAGAGAGAGAGAAAGCATACCTGGAGAGAAAGAGAAAGCATACCTGGAGAGAAAGAGAAAGCATACCTGGAGAGAAAGAGAAAGCATACCTGGAGAGAGAGAGAGAGAAAGCATACCTGGAGAGAGAGAGAGAGAGAGAAAGCATACCTGGAGAGAGAGAGAGAGAAAGCATACCTGGAGAGAGAGAGAGAGAGAGAGAGAGGAGAGAGAGAGAGAGAGAGAGAGAGAGAGAGAGAGCATACCTGGAGAGAGAGAGAGAAAGCATACCTGGAGAGAGAGAGAGAGAGAGAGAGCATACCTGGAGAGAGAGAGAGAAAGCATACCTGGAGAGAGAGAGAGAGCATACCTGGAGAGAGAGAAAGCATACCTGGAGAGAGAGAAAGCATACCCGGAGAGAGAGAGAGAGAGAAAGCATACCTGGAGAGAGAGAGAAAGCATACCTGGAGAGAGAGAGAGAAAGCATACCTGGAGAGAGAGAGAGAAAGCATACCTGGAGAGAGAGAGAAAGCATACCTGGAGAGAGAGGAGGAGAGATCATACCTGGAGAGGGAGAGATCATACCTGGAGAGGGAGAGATCATACCTGGAGAGGGAGAGATCATACCTGGAGAGGGAGAGATCATACCTGGAGAGGGAGAGATCATACCTGGAGAGGGAGAGATCATACCTGGAGAGGGAGAGATCATACCTGGAGAGGGAGAGATCATACCTGGAGAGGGAGAGATCATACCTGGAGAGGGAGAGATCATACCTGGAGAGGGAGAGATCATACCTGGAGAGGGAGAGATCATACCTGGAGAGGGAGAGATCATACCTGGAGAGGGAGAGATCATACCTGGAGAGGGAGAGATCATACCTGGAGAGGGAGAGATCATACCTGGAGAGGGAGAGATCATACCTGGAGAGGGAGAGATCATACCTGGAGAGGGAGAGATCATACCTGGAGAGGGAGAGATCATACCTGGAGAGGGAGAGAGCATACCTGGAGAGGGAGAGAGCATACCTGGAAATTTAAATTTAAATTTTGCCCCGAGGGGCGAGTTTATTGGGCAGCGCCACTCATCTTGTGAGTGGACACACCGCCATAGCAGTATGTACAACACTCCCCAAAAGGAAGAAAACCCGCTTGGTTGTTCATCCTGTCACTTGTACCCAGACACAGCTGGGACTTGCTTAACTGTCTCAAGTGAACAGCTCCTCAAACAAGAAGAATAACATCTGTCAACCCTTAAATGCTTACGTTATCTTGCGGGTGCAAAATGGGGGAATCTTTTAAGAACAATATCAATATTTGACAAATAGTGTTTTCCTAACTCAAGCAATGTAGGGTTCATTATTCTACACACATTTCTAATGTCTCTCAGGTGTTCACATTCACGTAGATAGTGGTCAAGGCGGTGTCCGTCACTCTCATCACAAATTCTGCAACCTCGCTGATCAACTGTTGTTTCCATTCCATATCTCCATGGATATTTGTATCCCAGACGGATTCTCACTATTACTGATTCTCTCCCGCGTCCTATTCGTTCGTAATGATTGGGATTGCCAGCTGCAACCATGTTGTACCAGCATACAGATTCACTGGTTTGTGCTTCTATCCTCCTTTCCTCAGTTACCTTGTCACGGTGATGTTGCCTGACAATACCTCTAATTTGTAGTAGAGTCTTGGGTATGAAGTATTCAATATGGTCTCCTTCAGTGCCTTCAGCAGCAGCACATCTGCTCGTACATTCCCACATACCTGGAGAGAGAGAGAGAGGGAGAGAGAGCATACCTGGAGAGAGAGAGGGAGAGAGCATACCTGGAGAGAGAGAGGGAGGGAGGGAGAGAGCATACCTGGAGAGAGAGAGAGGGAGAGAGCATACCTGGAGAGAGAGAGGGAGAGAGCATACCTGGAGAGAGAGAGGGAGAGAGCATACCTGGAGAGAGAGAGAGGGAGAGAGCATACCTGGAGAGAGAGAGGGAGAGAGCATACCTGGAGAGAGAGAGAGAGGGAGAGAGCATACCTGGAGAGAGGGAGAGAGCATACCTGGAGAGAGGGAGAGAGCATACCTGGAGAGAGGGAGAGAGCATACCTGGAGAGAGGGAGAGAGCATACCGGGAGAGAGCATACCTGGAGAGAGAGAGAGAGAGAGAGAGAGAGGGAGGGAGAGAGCATACCTGGAGAGAGAGAGAGAGAGGGAGAGAGCATACCTGGAGAGAGAGAGAGGGAGAGAGCATACCTGGAGAGAGAGAGAGAGAGGGAGAGAGCATACCTGGAGAGAGAGAGAGAGGAAGAGAGCATACCTGGAGAAAGAGAGAGGGAGAGAGCATACCTGGAGAGAGAGAGAGGGGGAGAGTTTACCTGGAGATGGTTTAAAAAGTTCTGCTCCTGGAGCCCAGCCATGTGTGTAAGGTTAATGTGATGCCTGACACTCCCGGTACTGACTGTGGGGCTGTCATACAGACTGCTGGTGTCACACAAGGGTTAGAGATGAGTATTTTCGTTTAGTCTGGTTTTATCTTCATTATATAAACCTTACTTGATGTGACCCTCTTCAAGAAGTAGGTTTAGGGTTTCATATTACTTGACAAGGTAGCTTAATCCATGGTTAAGCTCAGGCGACACATTTGTTCACTGTAACGAACGATGTTCCTTACAGCGATTCTTGCTCTCCCTACCAGGCTAGTCAGTTGGTAGGTGTGTTGTTCAGCAGCTTTACAACTGAACAGGAAGAGGGCTGCATGCAAAGCCAGGTCACCTGTGGTAGCATTTGGTACTTTTTGATTTCGTGCACATTCTGAATGTTTCTTTTGTTTTGCGAGAGTTGTTTACGGACTTGTTTGAGACTGGTCTTTATTAACCCTCCAGTTATCTGTAAAGCTTCACTGATTTTCTGGATGCTAACCTGGTGTGGTGGTGAACTGTCACTTGACCTCTGTGAAAGAGGTAGGTCTTTGCTATGGTTCCTGGTAGGCCAAGCAGCCAGTGTGATGTAATTGCATGGAGAAATAGGGTAAGTGCTGGCTTGATTCTGATTTTCAGTATGAATTCCAACTGCGACAAATGTGAATTTTCCAGGAGGTAACGGGAACGGAGGACTTGGCGGAGGCACGATCACAGTTGGAAAATCACTCGTGGGACTTGGAGGCTGCCGTACAAGACCATCTTGCTCTGAGAGAGAGTCCACCTCCGACGCCTCGAGCCTCACCACAGGTCAGTTGTCCTTTGCTACATATCATCCCTTCTATTGTTCTCTTTAACCACTGTGCTGCGCCAACCAACAAATCTTGTTCTGAGAGTTGTATGTTTTTTTTTTAATTAGGCTATTTTTTTTAATGTTTTTTAATGTTTTCATCATGCTTTGTGTTTTGAAATGAAAATGGTTGAGTTTGGAAATATTTTGACATTACCTGAACATTTATAAAGTAACAAAAATATGTCCTTAACAATTGCATTATGAAGTTATTGCCAAAAACAGGTGGGTACTGCAGGGGTTAAGATATTCCTTGTCAAATGGCATTAACCCTTCCAGGGTGTAAATCATATATAATTTTGGCCTGACTGACTGTAGGGCACAAGGCATAAATGTTTTAGAGTACTGTGCAAGATTTAAGGCCCACAGCTACACAGGGTTCACATTGGCTTTCTCAGGGCTCAGCTTGGTCATAGTTTCCAGCTCTTCTTTACAGGTATCCAAACCCGGACATTTTTCAGCCACTCCACATTTATCAGGAGATCGGCCCGGCAGTATCACTCACTGTGATACTCACTGTAGGGTGAGTATACTCACTCACTCACTGTAGGGAGCCGGTCGGCCGAGCAGACAGCACACTGGACTTGTGATCCTGTGGTCCTGGGTTCGATCCCAGGCGCCGGCAAGAAACAATGGGTAGAGTTTCTTTCACCCTATGCCCCTGTTACCTAGCAGTAAAATAGGTACCTGGGTGTTAGTCAGCTGTCACGGGCTGCTTCCTGGGGGTGGAGGCCTGGTCGAGGACCGGGCCGCGGGGACACTAAAACGCCCCGAAATCATCTCAAGATAACCTCAAGATAACTGGTTCAATCTTCTCAGCTATATGTTCCTGAACTTTTTGATGTGGGTATATCGCCATTTATATTGTGAGCAGGTGGCTAGGTTATTTACTTCCTATCTGCATCTCTCTGCAGGATGGCAGTATGAAGTTAAAGTTGTCTGGCACTTGTTTTGCCCCTTTTCAATCTCATCATCTTTCTTCAGTTTCAGCCTGGGTGGTACTGTCGTCTCTTATCATTCAGAATTGACAGAGCTGCAGCTGTTTGCATTCAGCATATTCATCTTCAGTGCTGTTCTGCAAGTTATCTTGTGCATTTTATCAACTCCTGCCAGCTCTTGCTCCTGAGCCATCCTGGTCTCTTGACAGAGTTTTTGTTTCTCTTTTCCTTGGTTTGGGTCTGGCCGAATGGGAAATCATTTGACCAGAGATGTCTTTCTAAAGGCGGTGTTTTTGTTGGCTTTTGTCTTCGGCTGTTGCATGGGGGGAGCTGTATGCTCTTATCCGGAGGTGGGAGTTCAGCCTCTTTGGCCTTGGTAGGTGTTTTGTTCATTTGCAACTTTCACCTTTTCTGGCAAAGAATGAGTTGGCTAGCTTCAGGAAGTGTCCTTTGGTGATTGATGCTCGGTTTGTCTGGCCAGGGGTACATCATTTGTTCTCTGGTGAGGCTCTTTGGTACTACCTGCTGGCCACTGGTACCACCTTCCCTACCCTTCACCACCTTCTCTATCCTTCACCCCCTTTCCCAACCACTTGGGGTGGACAGTAGAGCGACAGTCTCACTTCATGCAGTTTGTCGTTCAAATCCCAGACCGTCCAAGTGGTTGGGCACCATTCCTTTCCCCCGTCCCATCCCAAATCCTTATCCTGACCCCTTCCCAGTGCTATAATAGTCGTAATGGCTTGGCACTTTTCCCCTGATAATTCCCCTCTCCCTCTGCCTTGGTTGATGTGTTGTTGGTTGACCCTTTTTTCTTGGTGCCCTATTCCAAGGTTTGCATTTCTCAGGTTGTCCACAGTGTCATTAAGTCTAGCTAGCCTGCTGTCTGCCGTCAAACCCACAATGTTTGCAAATACAGTACTCTGCTTTATCAGAGGTCTTTTCCAACATGTTGGGGTTTTGGCATCCTAACAGGGTTATGGTGGTCCAATATGTGGGTTCTGGTGGTTCAATATGTGGTTAACGTCCCTGGTCCAAGATGATCTTGTGTTGCTCTGGGCCATGTTTCCAGGTCTGGGGTCTCATCTTCATCTTGGTACGTGCCTCTCCTCCCTTGTAAGTCTTCTTTCTCCCCTTGGTTATTTAGCTTCAAAGAGCTAACAAGGATCTCCACAGAAACCCAGCATTGAATGTAATGAATCTCCTCTTTCTGGTAGAGGCCTGGTGACTCCCTGATTTCCTTCCCATCCGCTCTTCCTCCCATCTAGGTTTGTCAGTGAGTTATTCATCAGAGCTGATCCAGGGATGCTGGCTGTGGACCAGGACCCAGACTGCCTAGTGGCAGCTATCGGTACTAACAGGTTTGAGCTAGCTTTGACTAAACCAATGGTTTCAGGTTGAATCCTTTGCAGAGTTGTTTGGCAGTTTTGATGCTTTGCTTACTGTGAATCTTGCAGTTGTCTGTAAAGCTTCACTGACTTTCTGGATTTTTTTCTGGTATGGTTGCATATTATCACTCACTCTAAGCCTCTGTGAGTAAGGGGGGCCAGGTTCTCGCTCTGTTCCTCAGTATGCCAAATAAAACTCCTGCAACTGATGTGACCATAGTTGGGAGCTATCTCAGCAAGATAACTTCAAGAAGCCACTGGAGCTCTACCAAAAAGAGGCATTTCATGATATTCAACACAGGGTTTGGTGAAAGCAATTATAACTTACAAAATGAAATATTTCTCTGCAGTTCTACTTTACTTAACAATTAGATCACAAAGTTTCAAACCTGATGGAATCAAACTAGTTTAACATGCATATTAATTTGCAGGAAATGGTTGATAGAGGAGGAGGGGAAGGTAGTGGTGGTGATATCAACAGAGATGACAGCGATGAAGGAATGGACAATACTCCAAGGTTTGGGAACACAGATAGACGTAGCATATTTCCCACTTGGCCTCAGAGTAGTCTGCTCAGCTGGGGCTACTACCTGATCACGCTACCATTCCGTCTTACGCTCTCCTCGCTCTCTTCACTCTTCTTCTTTGTATACCGGATTGTCTACCCATATCCTCGAAGATGTAAGTACAGTACAGTTTATATCCTGTGTTAGGGATGGGGAAGTGTCACCTATTGAAAGAATTTCTTACAAAGAAGAACTTTGCCGTTAAATTTTAATGTTTGTTGATTTATAATTGTTATTTTGGCAAGTTTGATATGTGGCAAAATACTGTTTTACTGTATACAAAAATGTGAAACTTGCAAGAATCTTTTTCAGTATTTCACCTTAGGTATTTTTATTCTTTTTGTAGTAAAATTCCAAAAAATTATTTTCTGTAATGATGGGTGGAAAATGAAAGTGATACCCAATTATCCATAGATACTCATTTATGTTGTCACTTAAAATTAGTGTGTTGGGTATAATGAAATTCCTTATTCAAGAGGATCCTCAGTTGTTCCCCAAAGCTTATGCACTGGCACCCCGAGGCCAATGGCATCTTGCCTGGCATGAGATTCTCACAGTACTGGGAGCAAGGACCAGAATTCTGGCCTATCATAAGAGGTGGAGAAGCTGAGGGAGGGAGCATAAGACACTATATATTCAGGGAAACTCCACCAAGAAGGCCCATAGAGGGGCAAATAAATTCAAACACTAAGATAAATGTTTTGGTACCAATGACTATCAAACAATACTTGAATCATTCCAAGTAACCATATAACACCTTACTACCCCAGACAAATAACTGGATGGGGCCCAGTGAGCCGAAAGTTTTGAGAAATTTTGTGTACTGGCCACAAAGACGTCAAATAATGTATCCAGTCTGAAATGTCCAATTGGAAATTGGAAATTCCTGAAATTGGAAATTCTCCAATCTGAAATGTCCAAGAATCGGAACCAGAATTGAAGGATATACAGCCCAAGTGATGAGCATCTTCCGCTCTATATTAAGAAATATTTGTGCTGGTAACTAGTTTTAAATATTGGAAATAAAGACACTTATAACTAATTTGTGCTATTCTTGTTAGTAGAGTTTTGCGCCTATCTTAAGGAACTTATCTAAGACAGCTGGGTGGACAACGCTTCGGATTCGTAGTCCTGAGGTTCCGGGTTCGATCCCTGGTGGAGGCGGAGACAAATGGGCAAAATTTTTCTTTCACCCTGATGCCCCTATTACCTAGTAGTAAATAGGTACCTGGGAGATAGACAGCCGCTACGGGCTGCTTCCTGGGGGTTGTGTAACAAAAAGGAGGCCTGGTCGAGGACCAGACCATGGGGATGTTAAGCCCAGAAATTATCTCAAGATAAGAGTCCTTAATTAATCACTTGTCATCTTCATAAAGGCATATAGTAAGATATTATATCATTTGAAAAATGATTTCATCCCTATAAGGTTCTTTTTATTTTGGTCTTTTTCATTTTAAATTATACTAGAGAAGAGTGAACTTTGAATCATGACCCAACCCTCACTCCAACAGTAACTGATCCTCTCGGGGATGTGCTGCGTTTTATTGGAGAATACGAGATGGAGTATGGTCAGCAGCACCCAGCTTTCTTCCAGGGGTCTTATTCTCAAGCTCTGAGCCACGCCAAGTCGGAGCTGAAATTCATGTTGGTATATCTGCACTGTGCTGATCATCAGGACACACCAGTCTTCTGCAGGTAAATCCTCGAGGCTCTCCTCTTCCATTGGCTAGCCTCACCTTCATATCCATTGACCAGCCTCATCTTCTCTCATTATTGGCCAGCCTCCCCTTCTCTACCGTTGGCCAGCCTCCCCTTCTCTACCGTTGGCCAGCCTCCCCTTCTCTACCGTTGGCCAGCCTCCCCTTCTCTACCGTTGGCCAGCCTCCCCTTGTCTACCGTTGGCCAGCCTCCCCTTGTCGACCGTTGGCCAGCCTCCCCTTCTCTACCGTTGGCCAGCCTCCCCTTGTCGACCGTTGGCCAGCCTCCCCTTCTCTCCCGTTGGCCAGCCTCCCCTTCTCTACCGTTGGCCAGCCTCCCCTTCTCTACCGTTGGCCAGCCTCCCCTTGTCGACCATTGGCCAGCCTCCCCTTCTCTACCGTTGGCCAGCCTCCCCTTGTCGACCGTTGGCCAGCCTCCCCTTCTCTACCGTTGGCCAGCCTCCCCTTGTCGACCGTTGGCCAGCCTCCCCTTCTCTACCGTTGGCCAGCCTCCCCTTCTCTACCGTTGGCCAGCCTCCCCTTCTCTACTGTTGGCCAGCCTCCCCTTCTCTACTGTTGGCCAGCCTCCCCTTCTCTACTGTTGGCCAGCCTCCCCTTCTCTACCGTTGGCCAGCCTCCCCTTCTCTACCGTTGGCCCAGCCTCACCTTCTCGACCGTTGGCCCAGCCTCACCTTCTCGACCGTTGGCCCAGCCTCACCTTCTCGACCGTTGGCCCAGCCTCACCTTCTCGACCGTTGGCCCAGCCTCACCTTCTCGACCGTTGGCCCAGCCTCACCTTCTCGACCGTTGGCCCAGCCTCACCTTCTCGACCGTTGGCCCAGCCTCACCTTCTCGACCGTTGGCCCAGCCTCACCTTCTCGACCGTTGGCCCAGCCTCACCTTCTCGACCGTTGGCCCAGCCTCACCTTCTCGACCGTTGGCCCAGCCTCACCTTCTCGACCGTTGGCCCAGCCTCCCCTTCTCGACCGTTGGCCCAGCCTCCCCTTCTCGACCGTTGGCCCAGCCTCCCCTTCTCGACCGTTGGCCCAGCCTCACCTTCTCGACCGTTGGCCCAGCCTCCCCTTCTCGACCGTTGGCCCAGCCTCCCCTTCTCGACCGTTGGCCCAGCCTCCCCTTCTCGACCGTTGGCCCAGCCTCACCTTCTCGACCGTTGGCCCAGCCTCACCTTCTCGACCGTTGGCCCAGCCTCCCCATTCACTACAGTTAACCAGTTCTTTTATATTAAATATGTTGAATGTTTATGGAAGAATATTTTGGCATCTTTAAATGTTCTCTAAATGTGCCACTTCATTTTGACTTGTCCCTTTTATCTTTGCAGGACCACATTGTCAGATCTCAACCTTGTGGAGTATGTTAACAATACTATGGTGTTTTGGGGCTGTTCAGTCACCACAGCAGAGGGTTACAGAGTCTCTCAGGCTCTCAGAGAGAATGCTTACCCTTTCCTGGCACTGATTGTTTTGCGTGATGGCCGCATGACAGTCGTTGGAAGGTTAGAGGGACCAAGTACACCCATCCAATTGACTACACAACTTGAGGCACTTGTTCGGGACAATGAAGCTCATCTTGTGGTGGCCAGAGCTGAGAGGTACTTGATCTGTTTACTTAAGAAAAGATTGCAGATGGCAGAACAAGTAAGACAAGGCAACACTTGTTTCACATTCAGTGGACCATTTATAATTTCTTCAGTGTGATTTTGTGAGTGAGAATAAGTATAACAAGTTTTGAAAATAGTGTTAAAAACAAAATAAGAATAAATGTTTGCTTTATATAATTGATAACAAAATTTGTAAAAGTAAATGTTTAATGTAGAGAGAATATAGTATGCATGAAATCATTGTGAATGTAGCATTGATGCTTGTTTAAATTCATAAAATGCAAGATTTGTGAAAGAGTAATTGATGACAGTGAAATTTATAATAAAATTAGAGAAGGTGATGTAGGTGATGCTGTTTAATAGACGTACTTTCAAAAAATTGGAAAATGTAGCTTGATAAATGCGTTCTTGTGGTGCTGCAGCAAAGAAGTAAAAGCTAAGTCTGGCATGGGCATGAGAAGTTGAGTGCTAGTGCAGTAGAGATTACCAGTTGAGAGAGGTTGTGAGGTGTGAGGAGGAGAAATAGGGCAAGATGTGGGATACAGATTTTAGCTCATAAAATTCCGGAGGTTCATAGAGATATGGATGTGTAGAATAAGTAGATAACGAGTTTGTATATTTCCTGCTGCCTGCATTAATCTGTTACCCGTTCTTAATGTCAGGATTTTATCCTCTTGCAGTTTTTTTTTATGGATTTATAGATTTTAATTTTTTATGAATTTCTCTCCGGGTGTTCTACCCACATAGTTTTTAATTATTTTTACCAATATTATGACTTACACTTGTCAATGATACAGGTCTGTAATTGAGGGGGATTCTTCCCTGCTGCCACTTTTGTAGATTGGAACTATGTTAGCCTTTTTCTACACATCTGCTATGACTTCTGTACACAGGGATGTCTGGAAAAATCAGCTGAAGTGGAATGCTGAGCTCAGGTGCACATTCTCTCAGAACCCATGGTGAAACTCCATCTGGGGCCAACTGCTTTGTTCTTACTTAGCTCCAAGATCATTTTTTCACCTCGTTTCTTGACACCTCTTGAAATTTCTGTTGAACCAACCCTGTTTCCTAGGTCTGCATCTCTGTTTTGGTATGAATGTTTGTGTGCCTTCATTGTATACAGTATTTCACAAAATTTGGCATACATCCCATTTAATTCCTTGCCTAGCAACAAGTCTATCCAATTTTATCCATGAAAATTTTTTCTAAGTTCCCCATAGTGTCCTCTTTTGAAATCGAGTTTAAGAACTGTTTCAGTGTCCCCATTCTCTACTAGATCATATTGCAAAGCGTATTTAATAAAATAGGACATGATCACTTTCCCAAACATAATCACTCATTCCCAAATATAATCACTCATTCCCAAAGGAAGAAGGTACTGGATGTCAAGTACCTCTTCTTCTTTCCTGGTGAATATTAGATCCAGTACTGACAGAACATCCCTTTCCCTCATTCTTGTGGCCTGCTTGACGTGTTGCTACATGAATGTCTCCGAAATGAGGTTTACAAATCTGCCTGTCCAAATGTCTTCCGTTCTTGCCTTGTAGGCCTTGCAGTCTATTGCCTTAAAGTTGAAGTCCTCCAGTACCAGCAATCAGGATTTACCTTTGTCTGCTCTTACCATAATCTCTCTCATGACCATTATGAGGCCCTCTCATTTGTCATCCAGTTCTTCCTTTGTCCATGTGTTGCTTGCTGGTGGGCTGTAGGCATTTAACACTTTCGCTCGGCGACAACTGATCAGCTTATCCTGATTCCAGACCTGCAATAGCATTGTGTCAATATCGCAAGGGTTTTCAATTACTCTCTTACCTTCAGGTGTTCTTTCACTAGCAGAGCCACTCCTTTCCCTTCCTAGTTTTCATGTTACGTCTTCAAACTGAGTAGCCCCTTGAAAATACAACCTCATATTTAAAATATTTTCTTCAAGTTTTGTCTCTGTTAATGCGACAATATCTGGAACCTTGAGCTGAATTATATCTTTCAACTCCAATATTTTCGATTTCACTCATTTATGTTGGTAAATACTATTTTCAGGAACGGTGTACTGTTTCCAGTGTTCTGACCTCAATTTCCGTGCTACTTCGTTCATTTTGGTATCAAATTGTTCCCAATCTAAAGGCGCATATTCTAAAACTGGTCCCATAATAATTGAACAATAAATGGAACTTTAACAAATATTTTAATTTTGGATGCAAAATGCGTCTCCGCTGGATATCCGTAGAGTTAATTATGGATGCAATATCCGTCGCCACAAGCTGGAAGTGTTAAAGAACTTGGTTCCAACATAACATTGTTTTAAAACTATTGTGTTCCAATGATGCTAAAATGCTTCCTCTGTACTCCACTGTACTCCTGACTCCTGTGCTAGTCTAGGTGGTCCCCAGACCTTTTGGGCTATCTCATTTTATTATAGCAGTTTTGAGTTATGATAAACTGTCCACTAAATGACATTTAGTATGCATTAGTATGCTCAGCCTAACCCCTTCCTGCCTGTGCATTCATAATTTATATTCATCTTTCCACATTCATAGGCAAGAACGAGAGTTAACAGCTGCCTTAAGGCTGCAGCAAGATGAGGACTACCAGGAAAGTTTGCGTGCAGACCAAGAAAAAGAACGTAAAAAACAACAGGAGAAGGAAGAAGCTGATCGTAAGGAGCTTGAAGAGAAACAAAAAGAGGAGGACCAACAGAGACAGAAAGACAACATCAGACGGCTTAAAATGGAGATGATAGACAAGGTGACACGGGTGAGTTGAAGAGCTTTGAAATAGCACAAAATCACCCATCTTGTGCCATAATAAGTATTTTTCACATTCTTGTTTACAGTATTTACATGAAATTCACGTATACTGTAGTATGTTTATTTGACCCTCTTAAAGTTGCAACTCGAACCTTTGCTTTAGCGAACATATCTATTCATGCGAATAGGATGATCAGGGTGAACCCTTTCTCTCTCTCTTATTTGTATTAGTTATATGCAGATAAATTGGAAATGTATTTTTACAAAATTTTGTTGAACAATTTTTGTTAAGGATTCCTAGCTCAATAATGTTGACTGTTTTATCTCAAATTAGTCTAAAAGTTTACTAACTACAGTACAATACTGAAGTTAAGGTAATACCTTGATACCGCAATTGCAAGGAAGTGCCATATTTATCCTTTAAAGGATCGGTGTAACATTTGCAAATTTTTTTTGTAAAACTTGTTCCCATTCCGAGTGACATTAAATAGCATGGTAAAGGTTTTCACTTTCTCTGCACTGCTGGTCTGCTATAAAATCTTGGACTAAATCATAATTATTAAGTACAGTACAGTATATGTATAATACCTTGTTGAAAGATATTGATATTAATGTAAAGTAATAAAAAATCTAATCCTTTAGGTGATAGAGTAAATCTTACTGTTGAGTGTTCCCCAATTCCCAGTCCAAATAAATGATTGTAGAAAATGTCGTAATCATTGAATATTTTTAACTTGTGTAAATAAATTTATAATTCCTAATGCTGCATTCCTTTAAACCTTTGCCCACTTGCTTCTGTTCAGGCAAATGAGAATTTATTATGGTTTATTTTTGTTTCTCATCAGGAGCCAGAAGAGGGCGAGGAGGGGGTGGTGCACATTGTGGTGAAGCTGCCACAGGGAACACGTCTTGAGAGACGCTTCCTCAAGACTGATAGTCTCTCTAGTCTGTATTACTACATTTTCTGTCACCCGGACTCTCCAGACAGGTGAGTTTTACCCATCTGTGGAATATCACTTCTGTTAGGGATGATGCATGATTGATGAAGGAGAGCTGGTATGTGTAGTTTGTGAAGCCTCTCCTCTGGCCATGTATAGAGGTTATCTTGAGATGATTTCGGGGCTTGAGTGTCCCCGCGGCCCAGTCCTCGACCAGGCCTCCACCCCCAGGAAGCAGCCCGTGACAGCTGACTAACACCCAGGTACCTATTTTACTTTTAGAAGAGAGGCTGAGTGTTTATTTTGGAGATGAGCTCTGTAGCTGATCCCTTATGTTGATGATTCAAGCCTCCTTCTCCTGGGGGATGAACTCTGTTGTATTACTGATACTATATATTAGGGATTCAAACCATGGTGGTATACCCAGCCCAAAGGTGTGAGGGAGATTGTATTTTTAGTGACTGTGACCTCAATTGTGGCATCAGAGAAGTTTATTTTCTGTATAACTAAATCCAAATAGAGTAAGCCCTCATTTTGTTACAAATTTGTACACTGTTATAAATGCTTTAAACATCAAAATTGATTATAGCATGAACCTGAGTGCATGGTTGTTGGTGTCGTGTGTGCCATGCCTCACTTCACATGACCCCACTTGGATGCTCTCAACCCACACAGTTCTCAGTACAAAAAGTGTCAAAACAACACGCTCGCCTCCACATGCCTCACACTTATTGTAAATTTTAAACACTTTTGTACTCCTTTTTGGCATTATTTTATCACTTTTCCACTGTGGAAATGTATTTTAGTTACTCAGCTAGAAATAGGTTTTTTAGAGGGAGGCCCCAGTGGCTCGCTGAAGCTATCTTGCGGAGAGTGCTCCATAGTAAAAGGTCATATCAGTCACAGAAGTTCTTTTTGGCCTACCGAGGACCAGACCCAGAACCTTACCCCTCTCACAGGAGCACAGGGAGTGAGTGGCAGTCTGCCATCCCACCAGAAAAAGCCTTCAGAAAGTCAAGGAAGCTTTACAAACAAGTGAAGGTTTTGCAGAAAACAAAGCCTTGGAAGTGCCAAACAATTCTGCATACGAGTCACACAGAACAAGAGATTCATTCAAACTAACTTGAAACTAATTGGTATCACTTGCCACCACCAGGTGGCCTGGCCCCAACCCTCAGTTGGCTCTCCCTGGTCAGTTCTGTTGCTGATAAGGGAGCAACAGTTCTGTTGCTGCCTGTAGTGTTTTGGTTTGCCAGTCGTGGACAAACCCTTTCGCTTCAAGCTAAGTGCTGGCCATCTTTTGTGCGTGCTGTATTGTTCCTTATTTTAGTGTTTGCTTCACGAGTGTTTTTGTTCAGGGTTGTGTGGGCTTGGCTCTTATTGCATTTTGGGTTGCATGTACTCTGGGTTCTCTTCCCTGGGTGCCCGGTAATGCTGCCCTTGCACAGCCAGAGTTATCTCTGGTGTGTGTGTGTGTGTGTGAGAGATTTTGCCTCAGAGAGGCCTGATCACTGGGGGTGGAGAACCTTCCCTTGAGCTAATCATGGATCTTCGATTCTTTTGTATTGAGATTTTGGCTGGGGGGCATTATTCTGGCAGAGCCTAGGTATAATTACCAACATGAAGTTCCAGGATGAGAGCTACACTGGCGTTCACGTGCTTGTTCAAATGGCATGCTGTGATCACTATCCATTACCTGGCTGCATTTAGTGACGGTTCTTCCAGCGAGTGGCCCCAGTGCCTGGGGTTAGCTGCCTTCAGGCCCTAGTAATCCCTGGTGAGTCTCTGGCGATGTCTGTTTTGGATTGACCCATCCTGCCTGCCCTCACCAAGTGCCAGTTCAAAAGGTGCTAATCATCTTTGCTACCTGATGATGGTCATTCTTTCTATCTCCATCAAGCAGCCTGCTTTGTTGGCGAGACCTATGACCCTGAGTTCTGTGAGATGTGTTCTCACTGGGTCTCCAATCTTTGTGATTCCTCTTCGCATTTGGAAGCTTTTCAGGCAGGTGCCGTTTTGTGAGCTAGGTTTGCTCAAGTCCTGTATATTGCCTTGGAGTTATCTTGTGAGCAATCTTAGCACCATAGCTTCAGGGGAGCCATTGGGGACTCCTTCAGAAAGAGGTGTTTCATTACATTGAATGCTGGGTTTTCCATACTAAAATTGAAATAAGAATAGTTAATTTCAACAATTTTTTTGGCTGCATTTTAAAAAGTAAATGCTAAAAGATTAATACACCACCACCTTGGTTCCCTATTGGGTGCTTTAATAAACCAGAAGGCAGTGAAGCTCGTCAGTGAAGCTCGTCAGTGAAGCTCGTCAGTGAAGCTCGTCAGTGAAGCTCGTCAGTGAAGCTCGTCAGTGAAGCTCGTCAGTGAAGCTCCTTTTCTGGCCAAAGGATATAAAAGTCTTTTTCAGAGTGTTGCTTCCCTTCACGATGAGCTGTGAGGTCTTACTGTGTCATGGAGCTCTCTACATTCTGACTTGACTCCTGTTGTGGAGTCAAGCCTAAATAGTTAACTCAAAATTTAGAAGAATTAAATTAATCCATCATCCCTTAAAAAATGCATTCCCAGAAAGCTTCATGTAAGATGAATTTGTGGAGAGTAAAATTTAAATAGTGGAACCAATTACCGCATAACATAATAGAAGTAGGATCCCTTGATTGTTTTAAGCGTACGCTAGGCATGTATATGAATGAGTTTGAGTGGATGTAAATGAGCCTATTGCAGTTTCCTTGATTTCTTATGTTCTTAATTTATAAAACAAAAAGTAGGGCGGCCTTTCAGGCTTTCAGATACCTTTTTTTTATGTAATGACATTTTTTAACCCTTACAGTACTGAAATAAAGGTAAGGCATGTAGAATATATATAACTCATAGGTTATGCCTAGTGTGAACTTAGGTATAGTCAGTTTTCATATCATTTTATTAAGTAAATATTGTGACACTTATTTTGGACTAGAATGTTTGTGAGCATTTTTAACATTACATTTTGCTACCTCACTCATCTTACTGCAGTTTAGAATTTGTATGAATCAATACACTATGATAATAAAGGTACATTGTTGTAGATTCCAAGTGACGACAAACTTCCCACGACAAGTTGTGCCATGTGAACCAACAGCTGCCGAGGCTCAACCGCCAACTTTTGAAGAGTTTCATCTGCCACCACGCAGCATGCTCTTCGTGTCGGATTTAGATGCGTGAGTTGGTGAAGTGTTGTCTGAATGTGATAAAAGGAAGTCCTGGCTAATATTGCAGCACGCTAGTTTTAAACCATACTTAGCATTATAGCTTTCTTGTGGGTGATTCTTGTTCATCTAGGTCCTGGCAGTTACAGTCCTCAGTACCAACAACCAGGCTAGGCTACCCAATAGCACGATTATCATAAGATATATTACTGAGCAGTCTGTGATACTCTAGGATTTAAACTTTTGTAATTGCTAGAAAAGGACCCCAGGCAGAGTATTTTAGTCTCATTTATTCTTTGAAGTGTATTATGCATAAATATGGCAGTATAAAGGCCCCTGGAGAGACTGAGTTGTGTCGAATGTCCTTCAGTGATTTACGTGACTGATACCGTCTTAAATTTAGGAAGGTGTACACACATCTTAATATTTCCTGGATAGCTTCTTTACGTTAGTGAAAGTCCGGCACAGTAAGTAAATGATCCAAAGCTATTATTGTGTTAACTGATGGTTGGCTGCGGCTGCATTTTTGCAATATTCGACAGGGATTTGTATTATTAAAAGTTTGCTGATTTTTTTATTTTTTTTATAAAGTATGACAAAAGTATATTCCTTGTTTGAACATTGTTTAATAAAAGTCAGATAAGTTGGGTAATCTCTGTGTTGTCTTTATCCTTTGCCACGACTGTATTGAGCAGTTGTAGGAGAGAGAGAGAGAGAGAGAGAGAGGCCATAGTCTAATGTAGTGTAGGTCTTTCGGGGCTGGAATCTGTGTTTTAGTGTGTCATGCACTTGTAATATGTTTGTTTATTTTGTAATAAATAATACTATGTAGAAGACTGGTGACCAGAATAACGTTATTTATGCAGGAGCAACAATACAGCGCATCTTCTCTCAAGTGGAGCGACATGTGCTAAGCCCCATCCACTGTTAAGAGAGATCTGTTGCAAATGGCTTCAGCTGTGTTTTGCAGCAATTAATATTTGCTATTAGTTTGTAACAGATATTTTTCTATTGGTTCAGTAGATTAAAAAAATGCATTTGTACTTAACTCCACTCTTATATGCTTTCTGCAATAATAACAAAATGCTTGACCATAAGTGTTTGTCTGCGCATTTGTAAATGCAGCCCATTTGAGCGGAGTCATACTTTACAGGTAATTCATCTAAGCCTTTAGAACCGTTGAGCTGCAAAATTCTCGCCCCTTTCTTTCAAACTTGTGTTTTTCTATAAAGTTATAAAACTCCTTATAAGATCACAGAAAATAATTTTAATTACCTTGAAAGTGGTCTTGGCAATAGATTTCCTGCTGTTAAAATGTCAAATTACAAAAAAAATAGTAATTAATTTTACATCCTTGTAAATATTTCTTTAAATATAAAATTATTTTGGAATGACATTGGAATGACTAAGGAAACTAACAAAATAAACAAGAATAATGTATTTGTGCACTACAGTATTCGGATTATTTTTCATTTCACTAATTAGTAGACGAGTGTGTTTGTGCAAACCCAGCTACAGTACCTACACTACTGTAGAAGAAAGTTCTATTCATTTCCAACCTGCTTGTGGTGGTGGGGTGGACCTTGAGGTGTTACCAGCCTCCAGTAATTTAATAATATTACCAACTATTTGCATGTTAGAAGCGAGTTCTCACACACATTCTTCAAAGCCACAGTAAATAACATTATCCTGAGCACATGCATTCAGCACGTGGGAAGAACAGTGTGATGCTTAAATTGATAAATGAAAACATTACCTATCTACATATCCATCCATCTATCCATCCACCTATCCGTCAATCTATCTATCTACCTATCTGTTCATCCATCTATGTACTCATGTCTATTCTTGTATCCATCAACTTTTCCATCCATCCATCCAGCCACTTATCCCTCTGTACTCTCTGTCTATTTGATTGTCCGTCTCCGAGACAGACAAATGGACGTTTAGTGGTGAGAAATACTCCCCAAAAATTTGTTTCCCTTTACTCTGAAAAAAGGACTCTGGCTTGAAAAACCTTAGAATCCATGGAATAGTCATTCGTTTTATGCGAGTACGGGCAAATTATTGAAAGAAAATTTGTTCATTTTCCCAAAATCAGTAAATAATGGTGCCTATAAGAAAAAAAAGTTAATTTATTATTTTTTGTTTTCTTAAGCGGTTTCAATACTTAGCCTCGTTGTCACGTGCACACACCCACTCGAGCCGCTGTGAGTCCCTTAAGTTTTTGGAAAATATTTAGCTGTGAAGCTGGAGTGCGGTACCAAAATTATCATAGAGGGTCTGAATGTGGCCCAGGTTTCCTTTTGAATTCTGGTGACCCTGACCAGCCTATGTTCATCCCATATCCCAAACTGGTTCCCTGCCAATTTACGGGAGTGTAACCCCAATCATATTGCCTCCAAATTTAAACAGACGGGACACATTCTCTCTTATAGTAGTATGCGTGTGTGTGTATTTAATTAATTATTAATCATTAAATTACGAATTATATAGTATGTCTTCACAAAGGATGTGTTCCTTGAAAATTTGATGCAGGGCTTGTTTAATTTAGTAATGTATTGTACATGAAAACAGGGGTGTATTCCAAAGTCCTCCAATTGTCTGCCTTTTTCCATTTAATGCTTAGTTATCAATGAGCACCGGGGAGTGAGAGCTCCTTCTCCTAGCCATTTATACCTGTCTCACTAATTAAAAGTACCTCTCTCAACATTGACATGACACCTAAGTGATCATTAAGTCTTTACTATTTAAATATTTCTAATATTTTCTAACCAGAGATATAGTACATAATGAAGTTCAGAATAATTAAGAGATGCTGTAATGCAAGAATGTAATGAGGTCCATGGTTTTGGTACAGTATTTAAATATCATGCAACACAACAACAAATATGGTTGAATTGACTCAAGAGCAAACCCACCCTCAATCGGTTAAAATTTTTTTGTTAAAAACAAAATTATGCAAGTGCATGATCATATGCTTCTAATTTGCATAATGAAGGGTGGAGATAGATAGATATATATAATATATATAAGTATAAAATATGAAATTAATAAGAAATACTGTACACAAATTTGAAATAGAACTCTGAATAATTCTCGAATGCTCTGGAAATGTACCCGATTCCAGGTGCATGCTGCCTAATGATATGAGGGTCAAAGGGCATTTTGTAAATATTGCAGATTTTCTTCCAATAATACCTATACAGTATATTATAATGAATAAGATATTTACACTAATATTGGGTATTGAAATAAATCACTTGTTTACATTGGCACTATGACCCACTGTCACTAGTAGCCAGTGTTTACTGGCAAGAGGCATGCAACTGGATGAGATTAGCAGGTGCTGGCCACAACACACTATTGCAAATTAAAAAACTTTAACATGTCTTTTTTTTTTATATTTGCTTTATTGTAAATTCTGCAATTATACTGGACACAGTATTTTGTTTAATGTCTGAATAATTTAGTCGGGAAAGCTGGTATTGGGACTACCGTCCACAAAGGATTAAGGAGTAGTTGTCAGATATTTATTTTTGTGTTAATGTTTTTGTATTAAGATGGGTAATGTTAGATTATAGGAGGTTAGGTCCTACACAGTGTGCACAGCTACAAATCAATAAATATTGATTAATTAAATCCAACACCTATTGCATGGTATGTCTCCTACAGTAGTTTTGTATACTTGTATATCCTTGAATGCATTTATATGCTTATGAAAGTGAATTTTAATACATGTACTCTGTATGCAACAATTTGACCCATTGCATTTTAATCTTTTAGCTTCTTTTTTAAACATTTGAAATGTGAATTTTTTGTGAAAAGTAAATTGAACATTTGAAGTGAGGCAAGATATTTTTTTTAGAAAAGGTCATATGCCATCAGCTGAGAGTTGAGTAAAGTACATTTCATTAGAAAATGTAAGATGTCTGCTGCCTAGAATTGATTTGGGAACCTTTGTATTGAGGACTAGTTGTACACAACCACTGCTTACCAGTATCAAAAATATAATGAACAGTTATTTTTTTACCAATTACTAATTGCCCCCAGTCAATTTACAGTCGCACCCAGATTCGACTCTCGGCTCTAAACACAAGCTCCAATTTTGTATGAAGCTTCATTCTCCAATTGGAGAATTGAGAATTCTCTAATTCTCAAATTCTCAAGAATGCAAATCAGTGTATTGAAACAATAAGTACTCTATGCATCGAAGCATGGAAAGAAAGTTATGAATATCTGGTGTCAGTCATCAACTATTACAACTTACCACTGTACTATGCCCATTGTGGTATCATGGGGGAAAAGTGGGTGCATTGCCCTACGTATGACATTAGTGTATTGTAAGATTCACAACTGCGGGTACACGTAGCTCGCATCCTGTTCCTCAGGACTCCAGAAAATGGATGCCATCGTGAAAATAAATCACTGTATCCCTCATGACTGAGAGCGCCTCAGTATTGGCAGAGCAAATACATCTTGAGCACACTGCACACTTGTGCAAGTCAGGGCCACAGCACCACTTAATTGCACTTATTTTATTCATGATTATTATTTTGCAATGATAATTTCATAGAAGATCCTGACTGTAATAAAAATTAAGTACAAGGTTCTGATATTGGGACACAATGCTAGTTATGATCATAGCAGGAGGCAGTTATTCACAGTAGACAGCTGAGCTTTGTAACTCTATGCATCATGCTACATAACCTCACGTTCCTTTAGACAATAATCTTGTGGAAAATGCTTCATATTCTTAGTGACAGGAATGTGCTAATAATAGCAGTGTTTGTAGTAATAATAGCGATGTGCATAATATCTTTCTGGGTATTTGCTCTGTCAGGTAACTTCATCTGCTTGTGTCAGCTGGTTGTAGCATGTTGCTCTATACTGTGCTGAGATTTCATTACCTCACACATCAGAATTACTTAATTGTTCTTTATGGTTTATAATAATTTAGGGCTAGATATATATAATGTGAGTATATAGTGTAATAACAGCAAAAACACTTTTATTTGTCTAGTGCAGTAATATAATGTTACTAGATATTAGCACCACATTTTTAAGCAAAGCGATAATCCACTTCGGTTAAATAATTTAAATTCCTCAAATTATTCACTACTGAATATTACTGCAAAAAACTAGATATAAAGCCATTCAAAGACGTTGAAATAATAATATAAAAATGTATTTGCACCATCTCTTGCCACACTGCTGGGCTGGAGTTCACCGCTGCAGGCATGTACTGTCAGCACCTGAATATTACCCAGACTTCCTAGTTCCATCACGGCCAAAGTATGTCGCATGCAATATTTTTTTTTCCGTATGATCAGAGAATGCATTTTAAGAATATATATAAGAAAAAAATTGAAGGAATAATTTTTTCTGTGCACCGAGGGCTTGTCATATTTAACAGCAGTGCAGCAGAGTGGTTAAGGATTAAGAAAAAAATTAAATAACTTGATTAATATTACTTAATCTCAGAGAGAAGGTGCAGCATGTTCACAACTCTTTCTAAGGAATGTGCTCCAAGGAAACTTTACGTGATCTTGCTATACAGTACTAATGATATTCGACTCATCCTTCCTTAATCTTGGCAAATATTTCAAATTTTACTGAAGGAAATGTTAGCAGACTTAACAAAATCTTTAT